AAACTTTTGTTTTTTTTTTTTTTTTTTTTTTTTTTTGTTTTTTTGCTTTTGTTTTGTTTTTCACATTTTTTTTTTAGCGCCGCGAATTGCTTTACAATCCGTTTAGCACGAGCTGCCTCTGTCGATGACTCGACGTCGGCTTTGTTGTTGTTGTTGTTGGTGCCATCACCTGATAACTCATAATTCCGGCGTCAATTTGGTTGGGCGGCTAACGGTCTGCTCTTTTTTGGAAAAAAAAAAAGTGAAATTCGCAGTTGAGCACATCCAAATTATACGAATATTTTGTGCTCTACAGCAAAACAATGAAAATTAACCATAAATTAGTGTATTGAAGTAATCATAGATTAACGCCGATAATAGCTGTTGTCTCCAAAAAAAATCGGACGGAAATAGCCCATTAGAAGTCGAAGCGCACATACCCTTGCCTAAATATGATACCAACATTATAATATCTTTATAATATAATCGCTTTATACACTGAGTGAACTCCAATTGAATGGGATAACTTCATAAAGTAGCTGCAAATCGAAGCATTAACACCCTCGCCTATATGATTAAATATGTTTCGATTAAAAGCTGAGATGATCTCTCAGCTTCTCTTCGCCTTTTATATCTTTTTGGGGTGACCATGCAAGCCGAGTCCTAACATAGCTTAACTTAGCTAATTTTGGATCACATCTTAACCACTTCTAGCATACGATCTATAAGGATTTAACATCATTAATACCCAAGCTACCAAAACAGCTTATAAGCTTATAAGAAGAAAACATCGTTAGTATCTGCAAATTATATCGCAGAGTGTATATACTATTTGAATACACTAAGCACAGAGTAATTAATAATAAACACCTACAAATCATTGTATTATCCTAATATAGCTCTCTTAAGTAATCATCAACATAGCCGAATTCCAACATGTTTATAAAAGTGCAAATATCTCCATTTCGTAGGGTAACTCCATTAAAAATTTTGGCAGCCTAATTTCAATATGCCCAAAAGTATGCTCTCGCATATTTTGCAGAAGAGCAAATGAAATGCTGAACTCCACATAAATCAAAACCCATTTATGTATAAGAATTATCAGAATCAAACATAAAACTCGATGAATCGTAATCTTCCTTATGCATTCACATTCATCTATAAAATTCTAGTTATATTGGAAGGTCAGAGAAACGGGTTTAATAAACCGCAACAATAACTCTCATTGGGTTGGAGAGTGACGAAGATGACAAGCTCTACATATCTTATATCTTATATCAAAGGTTAGTGTTAATGGAGTACAGTATAGCCTGCCTAAGGCGTGCAGCCAAAAATCTGGGTAGTTTAAGGTCTGTACTTGACGTATTTGGTTTATAGTAGTAGTCTTCAAATATTTAATGTTATAAAGACATTTTGTTATAGACTATTCATAAAGATCATTATGAGATATTATGATATGAAACGAATACCCGGCTAGTAGAGCACTGTGTTAGTCGTACTATATAGATGTATGTTTGTAAGTTGAAGATTATACTTAAATTACCTGTAATAACAATGTTAATGATAATAACGATAAAATCCATGTATGCAAAAACACATGTTTTTATATACATACATACAGATATATCTGTGTAGATATGTATGTATGCACCTAGTTTGGACAGCTTGAAGGTGCTTCCGCTTAACATGAAATTATCTTAGATGCTGACAAAATATCTGCTTTATCAGCAAGGTGTTTTCAGGTGTTTTTACTTTTTGTTTTCATGGTAAGACAAGAGCGTTGCTCTATGTGGTACAGTAAGCACACGCTAAAGCGAACTAAGTAAGCCTACAATTATCATTCGAGTAAGACATTTAAGTATAATTCCTTATAGAGCATAGATTAAGGCCTGACAAATCTCTTTGTTCACAACTTGTTCTCAATCACATTCACTAAGAACACTGGAATGCGATTCTCTCATCTGGATGGAATGGTTTGGAACATACCTGCATTCCATACATCATCGCTGCTGGCATTATCATCATCGCTATTCACCAGCGGCTCATAGCCGCATTTTGTATCGCGCCCACGACTGCGACTGCGACTGCGACGGCGACTGTGACGGGGGCCGCGACCCCGCCCGCCCAGCAACAGTGCCTCGCACTGACGCAGCTTCTCCATTATTTGAATAACGGTGTGGCCAGGAGTCGGCACGAGTTGCTACTTGTTTCGAAATAACGGCAACGACTTGAATATTATTACGACATTTTAGTCGAAACAGCAAGCAGAAACGGCAAACGGAGCGCAGCCAACAATCGTACACATCGTCAGTTGATTCATCCGCTAACGCTCTGTATGTGGCGCTATCTGCGCTAATTTGATGTCGACTGCGGCTGCTGGGGCCGTGGCTGATGCCTTGGCAGTAAAAAAAAATAGCTATTGTTGGACAGCTACTGTTTAATCTGTTTCTTAAATGCACACAAACACAAACACAAACAAACACACGCACACACACCCATGCAAGCAAACAAACACACGCACACACGCACACAAGTGAAAAGCCGTACACTCACACCGCAATCTGCGTCTCTCCATATATTCGCATATCTGTGTGCATGTATTTAAACTTCTATCACATATACTTATGCAAGCCGGCGAGCCACTGTCAACAGCTGAGCGTCGCAAGTCAAATTGCTCTGTCAAAATGTCAGAGATGGCGCAGCCAAGTGGATTAACATTCACTCAAGCGACACAGCCATTTGACTTAACAGAAGCTGCAAGGCAACAGCCTAGAATAACTGTTAAGCACACACGCATACACGTGTAGAGCGAAATGTGAGTGTGTTCCATTTCCACAATGTTTCATTTGCGGTGTGCAAGTGCGTTGCCCAATTGTATTAAATTTCGCATATATGTATGTATGTATGTATGTATGTAAATAAAATCTAAAATTACTAAAGCAGAAAATATCAACATTGGCAAACGCTTCAAATGATTTCATTCTAAACATAATTGTGAAATGATATAATATTGTAAGCGGATAAGTTGTAAGCACTTGGTAAATTCTTTGAAAAATATTTGAAGAGCCAGGCACACTGCCAGCCGATCGAAGAGTCAAGATATTCGCATTACAGGCCTCACCTAATCATATTTCAAGCTCAATTACCGAGTCGCACGGTGAATGGATCCGGTGAGATAAGCATTTGGTACACCTGTCCTACAATTGACGTCACTAAAGGTGAGAATATGATAATGCAAAATGAAGAACAAAGACAAAACAAATGCCCAAGCTATGTATTTCTGAGCAATTCGTATTTATCATGTATTTTTTTCGTATTTGCTTTTAAAGTTTCGCGTGCGTGCGTGCGAGAAACGCGCGCGCGTGCAGGCCCTTGAGAGAGCTGGAGCCAAAATGAATCAAACGAAGTACGCGCTGCTTGGCTGTGCACTTAAATCAGCTAGAAATTTGTAAACACAATACAATGACGCAGGTGACAGAAGAGCACTTAGGCCAAACTCCTCTCGCTTGCTCGTTCTCTCTCTCTCTCTCACTCTTACTCACTCACTCTCTTTTTCAGTCGCCAACCACTTGAACAGCTGTGCTGCTGACCGTTATGCGCCGATGCGCCGCGGCCCGCCGACAGCGACGGCGACTGCGGACAGCGAAGCCAATAGCCGACAATGGCAATGATTGGAGGGCCGCCAACAATGACAACAATGACAACAACAACAACAATAATAGTAACAATAATAATAATAATAATAAACAAATGTTACTAGGCCAAACGGTGAGCCATTTGCCAGCATTAGAAATAAACAATTGTAATTGTGTTAATAAGTGTAAAATGTTTTTAAATAGCATGCATTAAAAATAAAACAAATAAATGGCAAAACCGAATAAATTAGATTACAATTAAATAAATGTAACTATTTATATATTTGTTAGTTGTGCAAATGTACTTTAAAAACTATAAACTAAATATGTACATACGTGTCTATAAATAAAAAGGATAGCAAAATAATATAACTGTGTTATAAATAGCTTACGTATGGGCCTGCGGCGCATTGTGGACGCACTATTCTCGCCGCCACTGTTCATATTGCTGTTAATGGACTTCATGGTGTGCCCTCGGGTACGTTGTGGACGTTGACAACTGACAACAACAAGTGGGCGTGAATTTTGCAAAGATAGTATGTGATAAAAAGAGAACCAAAAGAAAAGAAAGAAATGTATGTATGTGTAATGTAATTCCAAAACAAAACTAAGACAAAGCCTATTTCGTAGTCAAACAGTAGAGGCTACAAATATTACGCACACTTGCACTATGAAGCGGTAAAAGCACAAGAGCATTTGCACACAGGCGCAACAGGGCCTAATATTTTCGCCACGTACTGTTTTCTAAACAAATTGAGCATGGCAATGCCAAAAAAAAGCCAAACAAACATTTAAACCGGTTAACGAAGACGCGACAGCGGCAGCGACGCCAACTGCGAGTACTCTATTATATAGATATATATGTATATCTCGCTATATTCATTCATATTGAACAAACTTTACCTTTCCTGCTGACACGAGTTTCAATGTTGAACGGCAACTGTAAACTAAAGGCGAATTCTCGTGTCGATCGGCAAAGAGCGACGAACCCAGCAGCAGCAAACACACAAGAGACAATAATGAATGCAAAAAACAAAACAAAAAAATAAGGGAAATTTATCTTAAGAGCGAGAGAGAGGAAGAGCGACAGCGTAAAACCATCAAACCAAAACCAGAAACTTTAATGCGCGCCTGAACGGCAAGGCGAGAGGGGTATATAGGACGTATTGCTAACATGAACTTATCATAGCAGCAACGGACCGATAAGAATATATACATACATACTTATAAACATACGTACATATGTGTATGTATATATAAATGTGTACGACTGCAGGACAAGCATGGGTTGCACAACGACGTTTGTTGATAAGGGCAAATATGATTTTGTTTAATCAATTAACAGTCGCAACAACTTAGACTGAATGGCAACAAAAGAGAGTGAAAAGAGATAGAGCAAGAACGTCTTAAGCTATCTGTCGCAAATGCGCGTAGGCGTATAAATGTGTGTATGTGTGTGGGTGTAAGGCTTCGATGACTTCGATGACTTTGGCGAAATCGCTAGAACAAGTTCATGGCATTGACATAGTCAGATGACCTTAACACCTTACGATAATCGTTGTGATAACACTTGCCATATACACGCACATACAAACACTGATGAAATTCCGCTGAACTTGACCCATTTGACGATAGCTACTTACACGGTGTACTTTTCATACATACATACAAATGTTCACAGACATAAGAAAAATGAAAAGAAAACCAAAACAATAAGAAAAGGAACATTGCTCACCAGTGACAGAGAGAGAGAGAGAGAGCGAGAGCGAGAGAGCAACCAAATTCCAATTTCATTCATTGCAAAAATAAAGCACAACGAATGCCGCTCAATTTTGTTCATACATGTGTGAGCACATGGCGCGCGCACACACACACACAGATACACGTGAGGCTGCCGCCGTTGACGTTGTTTAAACAAAGTAAACTCCAAAATGGGGCTGAGGATTCGTCGTGTGTCTGCCTCCTCGTTTGGTTAACTGTTCGTCCATTGATTTGACATTTTTCAAAATCACGCTAACACACACTACGACATAGCACGTGTATGTTGCAGCAAACCCTATCTATGTATATACAAATTTGCTTTACTTTGTTTTATATTGATTTTTACCAACCAGGAGGCGAATGCAAGGTGAAACAGAACGTGGGAAAATAGCTGCACATTGCAGCTGACGGCGCGACGACGAAGTCGGGGCGGCAGCACACTGCTGTTTCTTTTTTTTCTCCAGAATTTCATAATCAAGTGAAATGTAACCATCTGCTCGCGCGAGATATGGAGGCGCCCGGTTAGTTTAATGCATGTAAACAATTATTATTGGTAGCAGTGGCACGTGTAGGAATGGCATAACTATAGGATGATATCTTGCAATTGACTGTAGTTGTTGTTTTGGTTGTTTTGATTGTTTTGATTATTTATTTGTTGGTTATGTTGGATTTTCGAGCTTGTCTACACAAAAAACAAAGAAACAAAAGTATTGCCGCTTAATATGTGTGCATGGAGAAATGGCAACACAGTGAGACATTGAGAGATAGAGAGACACTTGAACACCAAACAAAAAGTACACTTACTAGATAAAGAAATCAACGAAAATAACAACAATTAACAATTTGAAAAGAGCACTCACATCTCTTCCAGACAACTTTAGTCGCGGTAACAGCGCGAACTTGAAGTTTACTCGCTTCATTGACTTACAATTTCAAACTGAAACAGCAACAACGATGAAAAGCGTAGACACTTTCCACCCCATTATGCACACAAGGGACAGCAACAAGAACAATATGCAAAGTCGAAAAAGGCGCTTTCATTTGCGATACGCGACAGAAAGTACGATAGCCTATCGATAAGTAAATATATCGATGATATTAAAATTGCTACACAGTAAGTACTCTTAAATAAGTATATTCAAATATGTCTCTGCTGCCGAATAGAATTAAAGGAAAAACAAATCACAAATCACAAATCAAGTTCCTGCCAAAACTAAACACTCAACTGTAAATTATTTTGAACAATTCCCAGAAAAGCACTATCGGAAAATAACAGAGCACTCAATTTTGATAATACGTCACTAATCTCTTACAAGTATCGGCTCTGTTAACTTTCCTTGATTCTGGCATCCTTGTTACTATAAATATCGATAGGATCACTAGATATAAAGTCGATACTCATTCGATCATAGCAACCAGCATTGCTCAGATTGTGGTCTTGATTCAAAAAGAAGACTAGAATTGTTTAAGTTCGCAACTAGTGCACAGTGTATTCAGTGCCGGGCAAGGGATAACAGCAAACAAAAAGAAAAGAAAAAAAAGCGCTTGTCTGTCTTGTTTTTTAATATTTTTTTCGTTTTTTAAATATCTGTGTACATATGTACATATAATTTGCTCCATCTATACTTTACGTGTGTGTTGCCCCAGGATCCCGCCGCATTCGATTTTGCGGGCTACCGAAAATTGAAAATTTTGTGTTTCCTTAAACGTTTTCGAATTAAAAACCAATTTGCCTGTGCAATTTTGGGTAAGTAAAATTTTCATTTTCGTATAGTTCTTATGTAAAAAGGATTGCCAAAATATACATACATAGTTGGAAATATATAAGTAAATTTGAAGATACTTGTACATATCAATATGTACATATGTACATATGTACATACATACAAGCATACAAATTTTTAGGTTTTCTGCTTTGGCATTCAAAACTGCTCTTAGGCACAGGCATCCATGAATACACACATATGCCTATACATATGCATGTATGCATAAGTACACAAGAAAAGGCGATGAACGCGAACGTCAAAAAGTAACGGTGCTTTCTGTTTGAGCGTTCGTTGCACTAGCCTCACTAACACGTCTACAAATTGAGAAGAATCAAGCAAAGTGAACGACCAACAAATTTTAAAATGGCCGCTAGTTTATAAATTTGAAAGAATAGTATAAAGCGATAGGAATAAGAAAATAAAAAAAGTAAATAAGAGCAGCAGCCACTAGAGATGAGAGCGTGCTCGGCTGACGTTTATATATTTGAAAATTAAATTAACTGAATACATAATTCTGTTTCAACAATTAGGCTATACATTTTATGTTCAAAAACAAAATACTTTTAAGGTCGACAATTTAAGTTTGGGTATGTTTTTAGCTTTAATTGTTTATTGATACTGATATTTGGTTGGCGCTACAGGACTTATTGAAGACTGCTTAGCGGCACATGGCTCTGATGCTGAGGCGTCCAATCACCTCTGGCAGCCGTCAGGCACCAGATCCGTACGACCAATTCTTGGAGAGCCGATGCATGTATCGTAAGCACACGGCCAGGGATGCATCTTGCCTGTTCCGTGTCATTGCTGAGCAGATGTATGACACCCAAATGCTACACTACGAGGTGCGCTTGGAGTGCGTTCGCTTCATGACGCGCAAGCGTCGCATTTTCGAACAGGTAAACTTAACAGCGATCTGTATTTGGTAAACTGTATATTATGGTCATATTCGTTAGCATGTGCGTGGCGATTTCGATAGCTATATGCTGGAGATGGCTAAGCCTAAGACTTACGGCACCATGCTGGAGCTACGTGCTCTGTGCTGCATGTATCGGTGAGTAGACCAGTGTAAATCAGTGTAAGCCATGAGTCGAACAGTGGCTTAATTGTATTGCTTTTAGCCGTAACGTCATCTTGTATGAGCCATTCAATTTGGGCACTGCAGTCACCTATAATGATCGTTACGTGGATAACTTTCGTGTGTTCTACACAAATGAATTCCATTTTGATTCCGTCTACAAATTGGACTATATTGAAACGGCTGCGATTAGTCAGAGTTAGTTCAGATCAAGTACAAAAGAAAACCCATTTACTATATATGTATGTGTATTTTAGCAATCAGCTTTAAGCTTCTTTACAAGATGCTCTTTAAGTTGCCCGACGTGAATTTCGCTGTTGAGTCAATGCTGCATCCGCAAACATTTGAATGGGGCAGCTATGAGGTGGAGATTGATCATAGGGGCTATTTTGTGCGCATTATTTGCAATGACGGACGCTTATTCACGCTCGATTTGCCTGAGCATACCAAGTGCATACTGGAGAACTATAAGTTGTGCAATTTCCACAACAATCCTAAGCATTTGAGGAGGAACGCGCTGGAGTGCAGTTCTAGACGCGAGCTGCAGATGAACATGGATTTGCCAATCAGCAGTGTGATGGCCAACCAGAGTTCCGAGATACTGCACATGTGTCCCAATCCAATGAACTCCTGTGTGCGTCAGCTGCTCGATGATGGGATCACACCGTTCCCGTATAAGGTGGCCAAGTCCTTGGACCCTTATATGTATCGAAACATCGAGTTCGATAGCTGGAACGATCTGCGCAAGGAGGCCAAGCGCTTCAATGTGTATGCCAATGATTATAACTTCAAGGTGAGCTTTTAATGGTAACTGGTTTCTTAACTCCAATCCAAATTAACTCCACACCCAAACTCCTCTAATCCCCGGGCTTGATAATTAAAAATCGAATGCACCCGTAACCTGACTGATGCTAATCATTTGCAGGTGGGCGCCAAATGCCGCGTGGAAATAATAACCGACACCGAAAGACAACTGTACACATGCCATATTCAGAAGATTTCAGCTGATAAGTCATGTTCGGTAGTCTATATCGAACACTTCGGGAAGAAATTTTTGGTAGGCCGTCCTGCCCTTCCCACCCCCCGGCACACATTCCCACTTCCGTAATGCATCGTCTTTTATTCAATTCACTAATCATTTTATTTCTCGCTCCGATGCTCATCTTCCAGGTGCCCTATGAGTCGTTGCATCCAGTGCCACCTGACGAGTTCCGGCCATGGGCTGTGCCCTATCGCTATCAACGCCAAATGCAGCGCATGCAGCTGGCCAAGCTGGCCCAGAAGACCAAGCCCAGATGGAAGAAGACCAAGCTGTACGATGTGACCAATTACTATGAGACCAGCAGCGTGCAGTATATGCAGCTGGATTCCTGGCACGGCTGTCCGCCCATGTTGAACGAGCCTGAAGCTTTGCAGCAGCAACAACAACCGCAGCAGCTACCACAGCAGCTGCAGCAGCAATCGCAGCAACAGGTCGAGATCAATGAGACCACCGAGTTGGAGCAGCCGCAGCATTCGCGTGAGCAGCGTTTCCCGCCACGCGAGAACACCTCGCGTCCTCCGAAGCCGCATCAGAAGCCACAGGCGGCCACTGCTGCCCCCGTAATGGGAGCCACCGCGGTGCCACCACCAATGGCACCGCAGCAGGTCAATGTGCCGACGGCACAGATCGTTAATTATGTGCCCATTTCTGGGCGCGCGGCTCCATTGCCACAGCCGTGGCGCGGCGCTGCACAGCCCATGGCAGAGGAGTTTCCGACTACCATCTTTCCCGGAGCTCCGATGACTCCGGACGCTTGCATGTTTATGCATTTTGGTGGCTATGCTCCACCGCCAATTTCGCTGCAGGCATCGCCACCGTCGTTTGGAGGTGCGCCATTATTGTTCGCTCCGGCACCACCGCCGCTGGTGTCGCCGGTGACTTCGGTGATGGTGCCATCGGTGGGGGCCACCGTCACCAGCAGCAGCAGCAGCAGCACCAACAGCGCCAACATGGCAAACACCACCGCAACAACCAGTAGCCAGTACGCCATGCGCACCAGCAGCGGTGAGGATCACTTGGAGCCGAGGCGCTCGCTGCATGCCAATGGAGAGGATTTGCCGGCTGATCTGAGCACTTTGCGCTACTTCTACAACATGGGCGTCGATGTGCATATGCGCTGGTCAAACATGATGCCGCCCGATGAGCAGAGGCAGATGTTGAGCAACACGAATGCCAATCAGAACCACAACAACACGGACCAACAAGGACATGATCATAACGACGAGGCAGTTGCTCTGGTGTCGAACACTACACCGCCGCCATCGCCGGTTGCAGCAGCTGCTGTCAATCCGTCGAGGGCCTACGGCTCGGGCACAGAGACAAGCGTAGAGAAGGGTCGCGGTCGCAATAAACGTGGCGGGTTTAACAGGATGCGCGGCAAGCGTCCGGAGCAACTGCCCGATGTGGCCAAGGATGCGAATCTGTCGCATACCATGCTATTGCCGACACCCACCCCGTCGCCCAACACCAACGGGAATCAGTTCAACTTTTATCCCACTGTGATGCCGCCGGTACCACCCCTTCCGACATTGCCGCCGCCGCAGATGCCGTCACCAATTTTCTTTGCACCCCAGAAGGTGGGACAGGTAAACTATGCCCGAATTATAAGAAACTGAATGCATTTGTATTGAACCATCTTTCCCATTCTCTGTGCAGCCTCCATATGCCTGGAACATGGGTCCGCCACCGTTTGTAATGCCATTCGAGCGTCCCAAGAACGGTGCCATCGAGCAACAGCCAACTCCACCAGGTGTCTACAAACCACCACGTCACTAGGGCATCCACTCCATATTACTACTATATATCCCTATCTACATATGCTATATACATACAGCATATGCTCAAAATTTATTTAAAACAATCAGCTAAACTTAACATTTGCACAAAAGCAACGACTTTTCGAATCGCATCAAAAACAAACAACGAACTCTATACCGTTTTAAATTTGTTTAAAAATTTTGTCTTTTTTTTTTTTTAAAGAAAATTTCGAACAAATTCATTAGATATCAAATCAGTTATACTAAATCCGTAAAATGATTGCAGCAATAATTTTAAATATGTAATGCAATTTTATGCGATTTTATTAACTTACAACTTGCACATTTTCAAACTAATAGAGCAACAGAACCACAATTATAAACAATCTATTTATACATTTTATTCAAACTTATTCACTAAATTAGACTATATAACTTAACCTTTAAAAAAAAATTTGCTTGTTTATACACATTTTTTTAAAAACAAATGTTAAAACTCCTAAGCAAAAAACAAAAAAAAAATTAACAATTTATATATATATAAAAAAAATAATAAAAAAAAAACCCAAAAAAATGTAAAAAAAAGAGGTATATGTATTATATATACGAAAAAAAAAATAAAAAAATTGTAACCTTATGATAACCAATAAAAACACTAAAGACACAAAACACAAAACTGTACGGAAATGCAACTGATTGAGAGAAATTTGGCCAACGGCTCGTTTCGTTTGTACGTGGTATTTCCAAAGCTCTGCTGCCACATTTTGTGTATTGATGATGGCCAAAAGCAAATGTTAGAGCGCTTAAGTAGAAATAATAATAATTCGTAAGTAAAATCTTGCAATTAAATTTACCCAAAAAAAAAAAAACAAGAGAAGGTAAATATGAAATATAGCTTAAGTTGTTAGTCAAGTAATCTTTAGATTGTTTGATGCAGGTTGCCCATCACGCTGATGATCAGTTGAAAGAAGCTGGGAAACGCTCGACCCGCGGCCAGGCGCTGATCCCGCAACCGAACAGGCTGAGGGGAATTATAGACAGAATTGGGATTGAGACTATTCGTGAGTTTGGATCGGCATCAGACTCACGACACTCCGAGCAAAGCTCTGGCTAAGGATGAGGAGGAGGAGAAGCAGCAGCAGCAGCAGATGTAGATGCTGATGCAAAGAGAAGAAGCGCATCTTAAAAGCTCAGTTTAGATTCTTCTTCTCTTGTGGTTTTTGTTGTCTCTTGCACGCGCTGAACTTGTAACAGTTTTTATTTTTATTTAATTATATATTATTTTTTTTCTTTATTAATTTCTTCTTTTTTTTTAGACTTTTTGGATGCGCTCGGCTGTTTTGTATTTTTGTGCTCGACTATTTATGCTTACAAACTGAAAACGTTTCGCAAAAGTGTCGCATTTTTATGCTGATCTCTCAGTTCGACAAATGGGCGGCGGTACCGGCAGGCGACCTACATTCGAAGCTCGAAACTCGAATTCGATTATTGTGCTTGAGCACGCTGTCCCATGCATTAGCCTAATAATTGCTATGATTCGCATTAGGAGGACAAATAGAAATAGCCGAGAAAATGGCAATAGTTTCGACCGGAGGACAACTGATGCACGCAAAATATTAATTATATATACTCAATACGATATTTCACTAAACCCCAACTGAGGCTATAAAATTATTGCTTATTTCACTAAAAAAAAATAGAAAAAAAATAGCCTAAGATGTAGATCATCATGGTTAGTTATCTAGTGATGTATCTAAACGTGTCTATGCATATTGTATGTCTCGCTATAAGTAAGAGTATATACTTATTAGATTTAAATAAGCTTAACGAAATATGTACATTTCTGTAGGCCTCTGATAGATCCAAGTATAGCTCTTGAATTGCATTGGTCTAAACGAAATTGGTTAAATGTGATGTTTACCTGGATCTATATAAGATACAAATGTCAATAAACTAACAAAGAGCATAGCAATTTGTAAGCTAAACTCTCAGCTAGAGTTCAACAGTTATATCAATCGCTGAATCGTAGACGCTAAATCATAAACAGAATTTCTGGCCTCAAAGCTTAAACATGTCTAGATGAATATATTTGAAGCATATTCATATTATAATATTGCTTAAATCTGTTACCCTGAAACTAAAGCTTGTGTAGATTAAGATAATGTAAGAAAAAGAGCAAAACTTGTTTATGAAAAGGAAAATACGAAAGTAACTTAAAAATCAACAAAGAATTTTATGTCGAATGTGAGTCTTAAAATGCAAAGCTTATTTATGCTTGCCTTAACAAAGATATTGCTAGAATTTCGCCTTGATAGGTGTATACAAGAGATATACAGAGTATGAAGCAAATGCAAGTGTAATCAAATATAAGGAAAACATCAAAACATATTTGTAATTCTGGTAACTTCAAAGTTAACTTGGCTGAGTTTCAAATCGAATGTGAATCGCTTGATCCGAACCTTACGCTTACTTATAATTATATATGGCTGATCAGAGCTTTGTTTTTAGAATACCAAATAAATTTAAGTGTAACTAAATTCATAAACATTTTGAAAACATATTTGTAAGTCAGGTAAACTACGTGACCGATTTCACTGAATCGTAACCCGAGCCTTAAGCTATTGCTCCACTTCGAGTACGTAAGGCTAAACCTACATCAATGTTTATAGTACAAGTATATATCATATATCACATCAACAGCTATCAAAGTTTATAGAAGTTGCATATATCAGATATTAAGTGTTATATATATATATATATCATATATCATATATCATATATACTGACATCAGTGAAAGTAATATTTAGTAATTTTTTCAAATTTTCTGTTTTATTTGTTTGCAAAGAAACCTGCGCGCCCGCCTTGTGAGCGTCCAAGCTGTGTAAAAAACATAGTAACTAAGACCAGTGGAGACCAGTAGCTGGCAGCTGGCAGCTGGAAGCGGCGACAAGGACATCGTCGCTGGGCATCGTCAGCGCTGGGGTGAGGGGCGCTTAGTACGATGGGCCCGAGTAGCTGGGGCCGGACTGGCTGGGGCCGTAGCTCTGGCCGCCATAGCTGCCCTCGCGCTCGCCAGCAATGTTGGCCAGGGCGGAGAGACCATGGTTGCCGCCCTGGAGCAGCTGGTAGCCAGCACTGACGGCGGCATTATCGGCGCCGGAGGCGTACGCGGGCAGGGCTGGGCCGCCGGGGCCATGCTGTTGCGGGCCGGACACAATGGGGCCGGGCCTGCTCAGGATGTTGTGGCCCGAGCCGGATCCGTGCGAGCCCTGGCCGTAGCCCTGCTTGTTCTCATTGACAAAGTACTTCTCTGCTGGGGGCTTCACCACGTTGACGAACACAGGCTCGACCTTGACGCGACGTGGGTGGTGCTTGACGTAGACCTTGCGCAGCACGATTGCTGGGGGCTTGTGGAGCACAACTGGGGCGGGCTTGACAACCAATGGAGGATGGTTCACCAGCACCTTGGTGGGTGGGCGACGCACAATGATGGGTGCCGGACGATGGATCAGAATCTCGCCCTTGTTCTGCGGGTAGGTGATCGAGGAGGTGAGGGTGTTGCCCTTGGTGTTCACCGGCTTGTAGGGGATGTTCTGGTCGGAGCCGTAGCTGCCCTGACCGGCCTGGGCGACGCCAGCGGCATCGGCATTGCCAGCCAAAGCGCCAGCTGAGGCGCCATCGCCGACACCGTTGCCGTACTCACCGGCACCGCCGGCGGATGCAGCGGCTGCTGCGTCGCCGTCGGAGCTGGAGCTGTAGCTCTGCTGTGAGCCCGCGCCGTATGACTCCTGGTTGCCGCCAGAGCCGTAGTTCGGTTGTACGCCGTAGCTGCTAGCGCTGGCACATGCCTACGAGAGAGAATGAGAGAGAGAGATAGAGAAGCAGAAAGAGAGAGAGAGAGAGAGAGACAGAATGAGATAGCGAATCAATGAGCTGCAGCTGTGATCTCTGCGCTTAGCTGAGATGTGGAGCAAGTGGGTCATCGACCGATCAGCCGATTGACTGTTGGACTGTTCGACTGGGCGTATTCGTTACGTACAATTAAGCAGGCGGCTAGCGCCCATATGATGCTCTGTCTGTTCATCGTTTCCAGTCCCAGTTGGCGGTGTCGAACTCGAGTGGCTCGTTGTGCGACCGTCTGCTGTCTTCTGCTGCCTTAGCTGGCTCTGTGATTTCTTTAAATATGCTGCCATCGAATGGTCGCCCTATGGTACGTGACATTTGGCCCGGTGGGGCCCGTTGCTGCTGCTGCCGGTTGCCGCTGTTCCGCTCCAGCTTGGCCGCATTGTTGTTGCTATTGCCCACGCCAGCTAGCCAGCGAACATGGCCAAATGCTGATTACGCTCGCACGCATCTCGGTGCGCATATCTCGGCGTGTTACGTCGAAAGCAACAACAATTCGAACAGCCATATTATAGCAGCCCATCAGCCAACAATCCGCAAACAACATCTCGTGCATCGTGCGCCGTGCCCTGACACATAAGCCATATCGAGGTTTGCCACAACAGCACAGCACAGCACAGCACAGAACTGAGCAAAACCGACTGTCTGAGTGCAGATTGTGATTGCCAAATGGCAATTCAACAGTTCCGCATTGAAAGCGCCAAGCGATTAGTGGCAGCAGCCCGCAGCTGATCGCCGCTGGGCGAGTGCGTGGCCCATGTCGAGTTACAAGCTCCAATTCACCAGCTCCGGTTCCCAACTCCCTTATCTGACACTCCTAGCCAACGGATAGATCATATGAGTATAAGAGTTAGCACGATATTGCAGTTAGAGCTGTATTAGGGAGGGGCATACACTGCAAACAAAAGTTTGGTGTCTAGTTCTAGGCAACTCTATTTAGTTATGGCTAATGTGGCTATAAAATGACATTTAACATTAACTTCATACACTGCAAGAAACTTAGGGGTATTCATATTAAAGCAGAATCTTGAAGTTTGAGCAGCTATAAATTATTCTATTATTTTTATATTTGTGTATGGATTTTGGGATTTTACTTTACCATACACTATACTCATAGGTGACGTGGCTTTGGGCATACTTAATTGTCATTTTTTTAATATATACACTGCAAACAATTTATGGGCACTTGTCTGGTAAACTTTGAGCAGCTCTCAGATCCCTAGAAAATTTATATCTATAGTGGTTTTTGGTATATTAAATTCGCATAGAGCTTACAATTTAT